AAATATCGTGAACGATAATGTCGAGATACGTTCGGCGTTTCAATCTCTCATTTGAAAATATGGCCGGTTAATATTTCAAAAAGATAACATGTACCGAAGAACGTTGACTGTGCTAGACAAAGGGTGGCTGGTGGGAATACTGGTTTTGCCTTTCGTGGTAATTTGTTTTCATATCTCCAGGCTACCAATATGTGTTGGTGAGACGTGGTCGGCGCTTACTAAATTTCAAATGTTATGTTTTATGGTGTTATACTATTAATAACACAGCCGTCTTAGGTTATATTTGGCACATGTATAAGTGTTTTTTTTTACCATGTAACTGTGAATGTACAACTTGCTTCGTTCCATCTATAATCACAATTAAAAAATCGGTGTGCTAGGTCTTTTTTTTTATCCAGCGTGTAAATTTAGAATGTTTTGCTCTGTAGATCATCGCCATTTCGTGGAGTCTTTATAGCCACGTAGTGTGGGTAAATTGTAATAGCGATGCGCCACGCTGTAGTTCACCCACAATTGTAACACTATAACAACACGACGATTTACTATTTTAGAACATTATTCTGATAGCGTTGACAGTTAAATTCGATTGTATTCGATTAGCATATTATTTCTATAGTGTACACTGTACTGGTAGTCAGTGCATTGTTTAAGAGAACTATTTTCAGTTTGAACTGATGGTTCATCTCAGTCGCCGAGGAAATCTACTGGTATCGGTCAAACAATATCACGCAACGAACGATGAAGCAATTAATTATACATAACAATAATGTAAATCCACATTGAGTAAATTACGGTCACAGCTATTTATCTATACCCCTATCCATGACGTCGCCGATATTATAATTTTACCACGTATTTGTTCTACACGGTATTGCATTAATATGAGCTCTCGGTAGTGATGTGGGTAACATCGTTGATGATTGTTACATTGAAATCCAGGCAAAATACTCCTCGCACCCGTATTGAGAGGTATGCAATTGTCACGAGTTAATTTATTTCGTTCATTTGTCTTTGATTTAGTCATCGAATAAATATTTCTTTGTTTATGTGTTTGTTTGTTTATTTAACTATTTTTCTGCGTATTTTTTGTCGATATATCCGCAGTCTTTGTTTCACGAAAATAAATTTATCGGCATGGTTACCACACGCAATTTACATAGAATCCTTCCACCAAGTTTGAACCCGTGTACTCAATTATGACAGTGTTATGCATTTTAGACAACCACTGTGTGTCTTCGAGTAGTAGTTAGTTCGGATAATGTGAATAATAGGGTGAGATAATTCCGTTTGGAGCATCGTGGTTACTAGGGGAGCCCGGTGTGGCATCGCACTCATTGCGTATTCATATCAACCTTAATGACCACGCATTATTCAAGTATACCTGTGAACTCACCTTGGCCTCATGTGATCAAAATTAGCAACTTGTCAATAGTCATGTAAAAACAGCGACCTTCACTAAGGAATGTTATTCAAACATATTAACGTGTGGTCCTTACACAATTACCTTCAAGTGCGAGACACTTTCATTTTAACGTCGCGCTCCTTTGGACTTAAATAAAACACACCCATTGTTGGCCGAAAACTTGACAGTATTGTCATAGCGGTCGTAACAGAGCATAAGCAACTGGGTACGCCCTTTAACTTTTTAAGACTTCATTCTTGAAAGTCGTAATTCTGAAAATGACTTCTTTTAATAAATAAAGCTTCCAAATTCGACTATTCCCTTCGGGCATTTCATGTTCGTTTTGGTGATTCGTAAATAGATGTGGAATGCAGTTAAGTGACTGACGCAACATTCCATTTGGTGCTGTGCTCTGTCCCCAGATGTTGTATTTCAAAAGATCTGTTCGCCATATAATCTTCTTACAGTAATGTGAAAATGCGAAATGTTTCGTAAAAAAACAATGTACCAATTTAGCAAGACTGTTTTGGCGCTACAGCTGTTAAGTGTTTTCATTAGTTATTTATTGTTGTTTAAGTCCCTTATTGAGTGAGACGACTTATTGGTGTACTTACTGACTGGCAAGTGCCATCTATAGACTCGTTTACCGCATACCAAGTCATTAAACAGGTAAATATGTCCCGTATATTGAATAAATAAGTTGTGCTAAAAATTCTTGAAGACAGATGTTAAAACTTGAATTGAATTGTGTTTTCTTAAGTAAAAAAAATTGCATGAAATTAAAAGAAAACGGATCGCCCTGTTCACTATCTATCTATCTATCTATCTATCTATCTATCTATCCTTTTTTTGTTTCTAATGTTTCATCTTTTATTAATCTCGAGATATGATATAACAACAATTAATAATAATTAATGATGAAAAAACTGCAAGTAAAAGACTATTTCACTTACATTCAGATAATATTGGCTTACCACATGGAGTTTAAACCCAATCACTGTGGATATTGTAATGGTTAATACAAGACCTTCACTCTGGGGTTGTCCATACACACGGAGCATAGTAAATATGGGAGATCTTAATGTTGTGAGAAATGGCCGCGGTTCAAAATATTGAGACATTTGATCGAAGTTCAGCAGGAGGGAATATATATGAGGGAGATTATGGACCTCTTATACAACAGTTTCTTCTCGTGAGTGATAATAATGTACGTTTTCATTTGGCCGATTGCTCCGACGAGTATAATATTGTGACGACTTTATTTATTCCACCTGGTAACATATATATTATATGATGAGTCTGATAGGCTGTACCCTGTTTAACAACTCATTAAAATTAACATATGTTTACACTAGCGACGATTTAATTGTAATCATTTCCACTGATGTGTCACCATGTTTTAGCTTTCGTTTTCTTTTCGCTACTACACTTCAGAGAATGTCAATTTCATTAAGTGAAACACTGTAATGTGTACGCAACCTTCACTGTGTTTGTACAAATACCTGAGGGTACATCTCATGCCAACTCGTGGGTATTAATAAGAATTAATGCGTATATGATCTGCGTTAAAAACAAGATTGATTGCAATTGAATTATTATGTAGGGATTTAGTGTATATACAACATCGGTCGCTGTAACTCGGCATAACACCTGGTACGTTGGCATACAATGAAAGCCATTTTCGCTCTTCTTCGCTGAGTTGGGCAATCTAGAAAACGGACGTGTGTGGTATGGTTACGTTCAGGTCCACGAGTTTTTCTCAGAGTCCCCGATGAACGGTATTGCCATGTGACCTCGTGATTATACATTATGAACTTGAACTTACAGAATGGAATGCAATCAACATTTACGACAACAGAAAATAATTTATTGTGTGAAAGTGGAAAGTGAGAGTTTGTTGTTGACACGTTGGCAGTAATTTCAGGGTCGTTATATAGTTAATAGCATGTGTTTACACACGGACAAGAAGTATTTGTAGAAGTATTCCACCTTGACCTATACTGCATGCCATTACGAGTTTGAAACATACAAGATTACCACATAGCCGCACATCTTTCGAAACAGTATGAACCTAAACTAATTCCTCACACATTTCCCCCTTGTTTGGTCTAAATATTGAATGCAGTCAAATGACGAAATTTGGACGATCGGGTGATATGAAACGAAACGAGCAACAATAACGATTGCACAATATAGTTCACGCGTATGCTACATATTGTGCCATTCGTATCCATTTCACCTAGTTAGCAATACTCGGTACAAGTTACTATAGCAACAGACAGAGAAAACAAATGATAAAGCTAAAAGTTTAAAATAATGTTGCAAATTGTAAAAACTTGTCCGATTGATCAAAACTAGCCACACCAGGGGGCAAGTAACTTTGATTACAACTGTTGTCGACGCAGCGTAACTACGAGAGGTAACACATAACACTGCACAATCAAAGACATAGTAAGTGACCCCTGTCTAATATGTGCCTGAGTTCAAAAAGTATTGACCCAGGTAAGAGCTAACGAAGGCCGTTATTTTAACCTTGGACATGGACTTATTTACCCAGAGATTAAATGTTTATGTTCTGGTTATCGATTTATTATAACTCCTCAAAAACAACCAACTTCTTCTACGTCATATTCTTGACAGCGTTCATGATTTTCCCGGCACTTGCCAGATAGCGACGATGTTTGGATAAACGGACTACGGACAAACTATTGTGGAATTACTTGGTCGAAATGGCCTCACATTCCCTCTGTAATCGACCTTGTTACATGGCGATGTTATATTAAAAGAAACTACACCATATTGTGTAACGTAACGCAATGCAATGTACATCACTAGCTTTTTTTCCTACTTTCCATGTTTTGCCATTGACTAGGACAATCGTGCGCCTACTCTGAATAGCCACACAGTAAGGGGAAGAAAGAAGCAAGCACAATAACGTGAATAGGCAAAGAACAGGTTTTGCGCTTGAATGAATTGAACTACTGTGGATCAATAACCACAGGGATGTTGAAGTTCGACTCATGGTTATCTGTTCTTTCCATGTCTCTTTACATAATTACCCCCAACTCCCTTCTTCACACATTGAATCACTGTATGTATTAGCGTCTGAGGGCGGTAATCATGCATGTTGTGTGGTAAGTGATATGAGCCAGTACACTCGGCATGATGTTATAGCGACACTATTTGTGTTTTTATCATATCATGTCACAGATGAGACAATCGCATGTGTCGGATAGTTTATCCATATTAAGCACGCTTCGAAAGTGCAGTCGGCATGTAGTCGTATCGGCACCATGTGTCCACTGTTGCATCGGGAGAATTAAAAATTATTCTTTCACCAAATATCGGGACGTACCCCCACAATGAACGTGTGTAAATTATGAGAAAAACAATGCACACAAAATTTATAATACAATACTGAGAGAAGGTTGAAGTGTAAGAACCATCGAGCGTACATAATGACGCAACGCAAGCATCACTGGCTAATGTATAATATGGCTGTGGGGAGGTGACTTGCTATCGTTAACTGACCAATGAATGCGCCGTATGGAGATAATTTTAATGGCATTGGTAAGCGTAACCCTATTAATAGTAATCCAGCGGGGTTAGAAGGTCGTGATATCGACGTCACACAAGCAAGCTTTTCATTGTTGGGGGTCATATAGAGCAATACAGTGTGAGTGGGAAGCATTTGGTCAGCCTCACATAAGTGCGCTCATCGAACAGTGTGGTATACAAACAGTATAGCTGCTGCCCGGTACTTCGCCTTTTCTCGCCGAGTAGGGAATATCAAAAGCAATATTACGCAGATACCCATATGATTAGAGAGGTGAGTGTTCTTTAAGAGTGGATCGTTTTGTCATGTCATACGAGGCTGTCGCTGTAACGTTATCTCTTTCTATTTTAACTTGACCCCATCGCATGTTAGACACATGTGCGTGTACGCACTAATAGGCGTACATCGCCTCATTGAGTAACTTTTCGAAAAACACCTAAATAACAATAATTTATGTTTTGACTTTTTTTTACAGTTTTGTTAACGTCATCTCTAGCCAAATTACATTGGGAACTTAACACTGTGCCGGCGGCATTATGTCATCTATCATGAACGGAGAGTCCGGTCTGAAAATGGAGAAATTGCCACTCGAGGAAAAACACTCACCACATAAAAGGGCAGTGGATGCGGAAAGCGAAGAACAACAACTTGAAGCTCAACGGGAAATTAGCGAGACTATTATTAATGTTAGTAAGCGGCCAAATAGCGGAGAAGGTCTTAGAATTATTCCGCCGTCGTTTCTCACCGCATCGGGCTCTGTAGCAGCTAGTATTTCACATAATCACCCAACGTTCGCCGATGCACTCAACAGTATATCTCACAAACCACTTGATTTAAGTTACCCGAAATTTAATTCGCTCCACCCATATAGACTGTATTCACACCCAACACATATGCCGGGATCACACCTAGGTATACCGCATTATCCCTTCGGTGACACAGTGCCGATGTCAGCGGCAGCAGCGGTAGCAGCCTACGGGTCCTACCCTATGTATCACGGTCTGACGGAGTCGTCGATGAATTCATCAAGTATCAAATTTCCTTTGAGCTCGTTGTTACGAAAACGACGTAATAGTGAGTCATCATCTCACCAGTCGTCACAGTCATCCCAAGATTCACCGCCTGTAAAGTCGAGCGTATCGGTACCAGAGCTACAGGACGAATCGAACAATGATGATGACACTGGGTCGTCGATAAAAAAAGCTCGCTCGGTACCGGAGGAGAAAAAAGACGCCGCATATTGGGAGCGACGAAGGAAAAACAACGATGCTGCAAAAAGATCACGGGACGCAAGAAGAGCAAAAGAGGAAGAAATCGCTCTTCGCGCAGCCTTCTTGGAACAAGAAAACATGAAACTCAGGGCAGAGGTATCAATCCTTAAAAACGAACTAGCTAGGCTACACTATATGGTATATAGTTGTTGAAAACACTAGATTGCCTCTGATACCAACCCTTATATTTATTGTGATAATTTATTTTATATGATATATATATATATTTATTTGAGTTGCGTGTAAGAAAGGACTCGTGGTGCGCCAATTGATGTAACACGGTTATCACATTGATGTATGTTGCATGCAGTGCCGACCGGAATCACTGGTCATGAACTCATGTTCGATTCGCACCAAGGCCCGCTAGAACAACACGGGATTCCATATCTTGACTGCCTCGAAACATAAATATATTTTTTTTTTCAGAAATTCGTCAGTAATCACGAACTTTTCGTGCTAGTCACTTTACTGTAAGTTTCCATTGAAGTTATTATCAGTACTGTACAATTTTTTTTGTTCGTTTATACCGTACGTTTTACATGCAATATACGACACTCAGTCATGGTTAAGGCTAGGTCGGCTTCATGTCGGTATTATACTTATTATACCTATATGGTATTTTAACACTATTCAACTGGTATTGAATATTACTGGTCGTTTGTTCCTATATCCCGCCGTCGAAAATCAGAGATGATAGTCTCGAGTCCATGATTATTATTCAGCGTCACATTTTCTGTTTTCAGCAATAAGACTATCTACCTCAAATTACCGTCTACACGGTACTTTATTGATGTGTATTATACCTTACCACATTATGGTTAAGTTTCTTTTCAAGTCAATCTATTCATGGTGAAATTTTGGGAATTATTTTATGTATATGGAGATCGCTGGCACGTTGAGCAGTTTTAATAAAACATCGTGTTTATTACTCACTTCTTTTCAAGACGTTTTGTAAAATATACCAAATTACGTATTTGTTAAATAAATAAATGGGAACAATTTATTCACATGCAAGCGTTATTTTTATTTCTCTATTATATTTCACTGCCGTCCTTGTACAAGAGAGTGTACTTGTTATGCGCACCAAGCGAGGCCATTGTCATCACCACGTCCTTTCAAATATAACTGCGAACGTTAACAAACATTGTGCAACGTTGAAAAAGTCACATGGCATTCATTTCATCGTTGAATTGAGGTTAATGATTGACATGTCTTTGGCAATCAACTACCGGCAATAAAACTCGTTGAAGTTCAAGGCAGTTTTATGTTTAATTTTGATGTTTGCCGAGCTCGGATGGCAATTTATATGCACGACGAGATGTATATAACAATTTGATTTATGTTGGTTTGTGTCACCGTCAGCAAAAGCTATCCACACCAATGCTGAACAAAATATGAGTTGTATTTGAGAGCCGAGCCACTGACGTAAGATCCGGTCATTTCTGAGGGATAAATATGCGGCGTTGATAACAAACATGTGTGGATGTTAATTACTCACGAGGGCTAATAAAACCTTAGGGTCAGCGAGGGGTCGCTCCAGCCAGGCCAAGGTTATTGTCCACTGCAATATACTTTTATCGAGCAAAGTCATTGATAACAGGATATTTTTTACGATTTTACATGAATTTACGAGAGAGGGTAAATTCCGTGCTGTGGGCTTGGTACTTAACTGAGAGTGAGGTCATTAAGTAATTCAATGACAAGAGTACTTGCAGTCAGCTTCGTGATACCTATTAATGTTGCTACGGTGAAGTGACTATCCATTGTCAAGTACTTGAACGTTACTATATCCTCACAGCTCAAAACTGACAGGCGATTATGTTATGAACATTTAGGTTAATATTATTCACCATTGCAACAGAAAAAAAGATACCGCCGTGCTCATAAAAACCGCTGATGTGCGGTTTACGACTTTTCTCAGGATCATGGTGATTTAATACCTCCCCCATTTCTGTTGTTACATATATTTCTGCCAATTCTTGAGTTATACATACGATGGTCATTGATTAGATGCATACTATTGATGGATGGACAAACGTGACAGAGGTCAAACGGCCTTTTTATATTTGTGATGCAATGTGTTTCAACCGCTATTGCAATCGCTACCGAGCAACGATAAGTCCACAATACTTTGACACAGTAAACACACGAATAACCAAGCCTGTTAATGAGCATCCTTAGGTCTGTGCTAAGTTACCTTTCATATACTAGTATTATATTTAAATGTAATGCCAGTAATCATTACCGCAATATATCAAAAATCGATTCTATCCGTTTATGTGCGAGAAAACGTGTCCAACTTTCGTAATCACGTGTACTCACATCTTCTACCGCAATATTATCTTTGCCACTTGTTTCAATAATTCATTCAACAAATCAGTTTCGTGTTTTACTAATACGCAATAAGGAAAATTGATCAGTAATTGCACAATTGAGGAGTTGTCATAATTGATTTCAACATATCCATTCGAGCAGTGTACTTTCAATGCTACCGCACAAGCAAACCCATATTATTAACTTAACGAAGGATTTCCCTTGAGATAAGGGGCTCATTTGGCAATGAGCCATGTACTTGGAATGTTATGTTGCCATCATCTGTGTACGCGTTTTAGAACTTGGCCTTTTATCTGGTAACACTCAGGTCATTGCGATTTAGTTTAAGATTCATATCATCACCCGTTACCTAGGAGCTCGAGGGAAGACTTAACTGGGATCAGCACAGGGACGTCACCTACCGCCCACACGCCGAAGACTAGCAATCAAGCTGACCGAGGTGTTCGAAATGTTGATGTACAGTATTAATACTAACACATTGCCGTGCCCTGACATTGTGCCTACCAAATCCACGCCGAAAACAAGTTAATAAGGCTGATCATAGTTTATAATAAGATTTCACTCATAAATAAATTGTTTATCACCATAGAAATACGATGGATCACTGTATATGATGACACGTTAAATTTGCAACTCCAAATATGGGTTATTACTATTACCGGTAATGTAAATTTTGCGAATTTTCTCTATCGATGAAGTTATTTTGTCAGTTATATTTTATTTATTTTTGGGGTAAAGGGGCATATTTTTACAACGGAAACTATTTAAGAATGAACAGGCGAAGGGGCGGAACACGGCATTTGTCACTATTCATAATTGTTTAGGCACAATTGTATTGGGAAAATGCATGAAGCAGAGGTTGAGAACAGGTGTAGGGCAGTGTAAATGTGTCAGGTATACGTCCACTTATGTTAGGATAACACAACACAACACGCGACCATCGGACTCACTGATGATTGTTGTACTTGGCCAGAAACCAACTCGGCCGGAAATACTGGGAGGGTGCGGGAGGTGCAAACATGAAATAATATAGTAAGCATGTTGATGACATTATGGGGAAGCGCATGTTTTACGTGTATAAATGATGATGAACTTGAAATGTGAATAGAGTTTTATAATCAGCGAATAAAATTGTTTTGGATATTATGGCGGTATATGACATCTAACAGGTGGATGTGGGTGATGTTGAAAACTAATAAATCACCAATCTTAAGTATTCGTGACAAGTTCAGCAAGGGACTAAGCAATATTTCCTCTTTCGCCTGCTTACAGTTCCGCAAAATGAACTTGTACCTGTGCGCATGATGTCACGAAACTAACAGCGAAAATCATCCGGTAAAGTGTCAGGTATGTCATTCATACTAACCGATTTGTACTTGTCGGGGTAAGTATAACAAATACTTTGAGAACACGGTTAATCACTGACAGCGCTGACACCTTTTGGTTGTCAAAATCAACAGTAAACCATACTTTATATACATTATGTTTGTAAAATATGAAACATTCAACAAACTGAATAGCGATTTTGTCATTGTTATTGGATTAATCTACCGAGTCAAATTGTTAGAATCGTAATAAAAACATTAAAAAGCTTTAACAAACCAATCTGGGGCTGATTTGTCTCGCTGTCAGTTTTGACAAACCAACAACCATTATGAAAACAGAATAGAAATATATGATCCGTGCACGGATGATGTCATCAAATATGTCATATTTGGTGACATCATAACAATGGCCAATCATTATCAGCAGCTGTTCCTCTACAATATAAATACACCATTCACATGGTGTTATAAGAAGGCATCATGCTTTTCACTTTGTATTTGAACTTAATAAAAGCCTCTTTGTGTACGAGATGGTAACATGTGTAATAGGCACGAATACTATTCTGATTTTTATGGATCGATTTTTTATACCGTCCACTTAAGTGGGCCAATCGCCTACTTTCGTCCGATTTTACATACATGGAATTACGCGCTTTCTCACTAAAGCTTCCACAACTTGCGTATCATTCATCGATTCTATCATCCCCCTGGGTGTGATCAGTGTTCGCGCAAAGACAGTACCGACCAGGTCACAATTTTTACTGTTTTTTTATGACCTTTTATACGAGATTTTTAAAGGCGATGTTCAGGGCTGAGGTCAAGTAACGTTCAAGTGTATTATTAAAGCAGTGTGTTGACGACCGTGCTGTTTCTTCTTTTTACGAGATTATTACCGGGATGGGAGCACAATACTGCAAACATAACGAGTATCTGATCGTGATACTCTGGATGTCCAATTACCCTGGGATATATTTTTTAAATCACTCTGTTTAGCGGGAATATAAGCTCACAAACCCAGTGTTTACTTTATACTTGTGATACTCCGCCATTAAATCATATCAGAGTCCCAGTCGTTAGATGCATGTGTGTATTAGTAGACAATACGTTTCGTTACCAGTTTACAAATATTCCATATTTGGGGTTGATGGTCAGGGTGGCTGGACCGGTCAAAAACAAACGCACCTGTAGATTATATTAAGAAATATTGTATATGTAGTGTAATGACATGCACGTCGTCACAATGTGCTCTTTCATTCAGTCATGATCTAAACTGCAAATCTCTTTAATACAACTCAAACTCTCAGATGTTCAACAAAATGTACTTTTATTGTAATAATGATGTCCTCAAGAAGTTAATGAATGGATTGAATTATAAAGTACGGAATGGGGATTCGATCCCATAGACATGTTTCTTGTTGAGTGTTGATTTGGTTGTTAGATGAGTTTGGTTGTTGCACGCGGCGTGTGCCACATAACGCGTAACGTTGCGTCACGAATTGACGCAATCGGGAAAGGTAAGGGAACAGCCATTCACGTAAGTATACGCTACGCTACTCACATCTATATATGTGATTTTCATCTGAAAATAATCTATAGGTACTTTTATGAGAAAACCCGTGTCTACGTCATGATACTCGCACCTTGAAATGGCATAGTGCAACGTCATAATACTCGCATAATGCAACGTCATGATACTCGTATAATGCAACGTCATAGAACACGCATACTGCACCGCAACATGTATGAAGTAGCGGCACCATTCTTTGAAAGACAAAATGACGTTTTACATGCCAATATGTATGATGCTGAATGCGTTTCGTCATTACACAGTAAACAGTAGAATGCTTGAGAACCAATTATCATTGTCATTGTGTCCGTCACTTGTATGTACGGGATGTGCATGTGCTAATAACATTGTATAACATGTGCAAGACCAATGCCAATGCATGCCAACAGATTAACAACTCAGTTGTACATGCACTTGCACTAGCAAACCCCGACAACGTAAACAGCTCCAAAGTGTAGTTAAATGTTAATATTAACATAAATGTGTTTGTAAATTAGCTTATGACATAGTGCACATATATTTGAGAATATATAGAAAAGACACAGAACGTTGAACACAAACCACATTTGTATATTTATCATATTAGTTACGTTTATCTGGTGTTACATTTACCGTACATGTTATGTTTATTGTAAGTGTTACATTTATTGTGTTACGTTTCTCATACGTGTTACGTTTGATCGGCCATCAATTAGACACGTGTCATAATTGCGTATATTATGTCAATTAATATATATTTTGACATGATGTTACTATGGAGATAAGGTTAATGAGA